ATGTTATTCCCTAGCAGATAGTTTGAATTATCGAACATCGATTTATAAACCGTAGATTCAATTTAATGAACCGGAAATGGGAAATTGTTGTTTGAATCGGAAGAGTAGCATTGAAATGGCTTCTCATTGGTATGTGATTCACTTGCAGTTGCCAGAATCGATATTTTTATTCAGTTAACTGAATCATGGAGGTTGCTTTATAATAACTGTCGAAACGGTTTATTATTATCAGGGACTTTAAGATTTRCAAAATGTACGAAGGCGACGTCAAYCGGTAGTGTAGATAATTCCTCTTTGGGGTTCTGTTCATTGGAGATTTCATTGGAGATTTCATAGTCAGTAAAGTCAACTCATCCACTGTCAAGASAGACTTTGAAGGCGCGAAACCCCAAAGTGGAGTTATTACAAATCTTAAAGTCCCTATTMTAATTGATACTATGGTAAGATCGATGTTCGAAATTGAAATATTTGTTTTTGGTGCTTGATTTATACTTTGTTTTTAAGGGGGGAATAAGAATTTAATGGAAATCATATAAATGGATAAAATAAGTTAATAAATTATAATTTGGGATTATTTTCTTATCTTTCGTTCTTCGGCTATTTCTTTCTGTCTCGCATTTGCTCTTTCCTTCTCTCTCTCTCTCTYTYTCTCTCTCTCTCTTTCTTTCTTTCTTTTCCKTTCTTTTCATTCGTTTTCAGTTACTTTACTAAAATAATAAAATTGCTCCGCCACGAACAGACCTGGCAAACGCCGATCATTGTCGTTCACACCGTAGCTGACCAACTATAAATCAATCCCTATACATCTGCTAAAGACAGGCTTTGTATAGGCCCTCTTGCTTAATCAATACTATTAAGTATTCCAGGTTTAGTTTCATATGTTCTCATTAATATAGGCAAAGCTTTCGTCTTGTTAAAACCGTTAATCGCTGGTCGTTTGTGGTCTAACTTTTTAATCACTCCAAATGAGGTTTTGACTTTAAAAAAAAGCTGAATTTAATCAGGTATTTAGATGATCTCCACGCGTCCCAGTTCATGTAATAAGAGTAAATTATAAGAGACAGCAGAAAATGAATGATTACTGTAAAATAATCTGCTAAGAAAGGTGTGACTAAAGGTAATTTAATTTCAGTTTGACGTCAATGAAACTTTTAAAACAAACTGACGAAAGCTAAGGCGTAGTTCCATGCTGAGCAACATCAGTCTTCAAATAAAGACGAAGAAAATAGTTTTTTGCAGGTTATTTATCTCAACCAAGAGAATATTCTCTTGTCTCAACGTAAAGGCAAACTGAATAAAAACATTGCGAAACAAATCTCGAATGAACTAATAAGTTTTTCATCGAAAAATACGCTCTTTTTTTTTTCTTTTTGCGAAATTTTCGGAATGTCAGTATTATGACTATTGGGAGTTAAAAAAGTAATATTGAGTTTAGTCAAACTTGATAAGATACGAAATACATACAAGCCAGGTTGTCTATCATATTGGATGGATTCGGAAGTGACGTAAATGGTTTGTTTGGTCGTTTTGAAGCGTCTCATTAAATGCTTTTATAAATATCAGATTTGGGTACCCTGTGGTTTTTTGGCTCAACTGAAAGCATCCCCTTAACCTGAAACTATACCACAATTCAACTTTACGACTTACATAGCATTGATTGCGAGCTCTCTCTGTACCCAAATCAAGTGTCAAACCTTTTCTGAGGCGAGGGTTGAGCGTAACCCTCATTTCCGGCCTCAGCTCCCCGACTAAAACAAACCGTATTTAGAGTTAGTAGGTCATTTGTGAAGCAGGTTTGTACATGACCAATGCAGCTGGAAAATACTAGCTACACGCCACGTGGAAGCGACTGAGAATGCATAAAAACCTCCGTTTTCAGTTTCGAAAGTTTCATCAAATTTGGTCGTTACTCGTACAACAGCTCAATTCAAGATGGCGGCTGGAATGACGATTTTTCGAGTCAGAATAAAAACAAATTTCATTAAAGGAATAAAAACTTTTCAAAATTTAACGATACTATTTAGTAAAGTGAATTGGTTTGTGTCTAAAGTCTGCTTTAGCAAAAACAAATTCCTTTTTTTGTCGCTGAATGTTTCTCGTTCGTCTTCGGTCGAACTGGTCCTCGCTAATCAGCGCGGTGACATGGAGGAAAAATTAGCTGGTTAAGATCAATGAACATAACAGTTTTAACTCCGATACATTATACTAACTTTAAGCCTTTTTACATGTTAGTGGGAAAATAGTGTTTCACCTGCTCGTTTCTATCTGACTAATGACCTTTTTCAACGTCACAGAACCAGCTGTTGTAAACAATTGTCGAACGACTACTAAATGATACTAGAAAAAAAGACATGGTTTTTATATATTTTTTCAGTATAATTAACAAACAAAAACAGAAGAGTATTTCTCATTAGACATGACTTTTAGTAAAGAGCTTTGTGTGAAATTACTGAAGAGCTTAAAGAAAGCAAATTAAGTAATGCAACATTTATGGTAATTTTTTCTTTTTTTCAAATTTATTTATTTATATATATWTWTTTTTTGTCAGTTAGCTTGGTTCTCATTCTTATAAATTCATTTAAATTTTAAATATATCTTTTTTTCTTTGCTCCGTTTTCTTCGTATTTTTTACAACCAACCATGTAAAAACGGTCAAAATCTTCAAAAAAAAAACAAACAATCCATTTGTGCTATTCATACAGGCCTCAGCAATAAACTCTATAACATCTATAAAAAGACTTATTTACAATTACTTAAGTACGCTCAGCTGTTTATTTGAGGTTTTTACGGCTTTCATTTCTTACATACACACCAGAACTGCATGAAAACATGATGATTACATATTAGAGACCTTTAGCATCAGGTTTACCGCCACGGAAAAACATTCAGCATCAATGAAATTCAATATGGCGGCTCTTCCTGCTAAAACTTCGTCATGACGCTTTGCTAAGGCTGCGTTCATAATG